AGCAGCCGCCGACCACCGACGGTGGCGATACCGACTGCACGGTGAAGAACCACCGGAACAGCCGAAGAGATGGGCGCACCCCAATGAACATCTCGCACAGGTGAGCAAAGATGCCCAATGTCATCACTGCGTTGGGGGTAAGGTGCACCATCTGGAGATCGTAGAACTCCAGGACATCCATGAAGAAAGAAGAAAATGGCGGAACCAGCCCTGCCATTGCAAAGGGGAGAAAGAAGATGGACCTCCCCGGGTAGTCTGGCGCCGGGCGTCCCTCGCCCAGCATGACTATCTCACGGCCGGTGGCAGATTCCGGCATAAAGCGGCGCGGCAACCCAGCCTGCTTCTCGCTCACGATGCGGGAAGGCGGCAGCACGCTACCATCAAGCAGTGCGGAGCCCCGTGCCATAGCGCCGGACGAAAAGAAGATGGAGAGCGAGCGCGTGTGGCAAAAGAAGGGCGCAGGGAAGAAGGAGTTAGGGCGCAAGCGGCGAAGGCAAGGGGAATGATGGCGAAAGGAAGGAAACAAATCCTATCCTCAGTGCCTTTATACCCTTGCCAACGCTGTGCCCGGCCCCTCGTTTCTCGCGCCCATTATTTCGCCCCCTCGTTTCTCGCGCCCACGCTTCCACTAATCCCATTCGCCCGCTTGCGACGCGTGAGGTGGATATGCGGTTGCGGCAGTCGAGATAGATCGTATCGTGCGCGCGTTAATTACGCTCGCCGACCAAAGCGACATTACCGTATCTCCAGGCGAAGCAAATCGGCTCGCCCAGATTCGTGCGCCGCTCAGGTGATGTGGCAGTCTTGAAGAGACCGCCCATTATTGACAGCCAAATTACCATTACCGGTGTGCATGGTTTGAGACCGTTGGTTTTCTGCCCAACCATGGAGACCGGTCCCACCTGTCACCAGGCTTTAGGAGTGGCGTCACGCCCGGCCACTTCCCATAAGAAGGGCGATCGCCCTGGCATAACGCCGGGGGCTACTGTCGGTGACATGGGACCGGGGGTATCATGACTCGAGGCTTGAGGCAGACACAATCGCCCACGTGGCCTAGCACCCTCGGGGGACGTCGGGCCCGAGGGTGATGTGTGCGCCCACCTCTTGGTCTCCCCGAGGGGGGGGTCGGACCACTCCTGCCTCGCCCCCGAGGGCCGAGGCGCCCCGACCCCTCGCGTTTCTTCTCCACGTGTATGGGTTAGGTGAGCACAGCGGGGCTCACCTAACCGCATTTATTGCGCCTTGGCTAAGCGTGTCACGCCGCACGAAGTGTAGTGCAGTGCACTCGATTATCCGGTCTGTGACCAGTCACAGACCGGTCAAATCGCGGGTTAGGTGGCGACAGGCGGTCTGGCGCACGCTTCGCCCCATCCCGTCAAGACGAAAGCTTCTAGGCACTCGTCCCCGGCTGGAGCTAGCGTGTTACATCCCAGAGATGACACGTTAGCCCCGATCGATATATGCCAGGCTTCATCCTAACCATTACAAGCAAGATGTTGTTTGAAGAAGGGCAAACATGCACGTTGCTAAGCCGACGCGTGGTGGACAAGAATGACCGATTTGTGACCGGTCTGACACTGCTCATGTCGTCAGCACACAGCCACTTTCCCACGATGTGCCCGCCTCAGGCAGAAGTGGAGGTAGGTGTGTGCCGTCCCGTCAGGAGGGTGTTCGGAGGATGACCGTGCAAATCTCCGTCCATTTATGAAGAGAAGAAAAGTCCAGTTTGGAAAGGGAGGGGTGCATGTGGTATCCCCTTGAAGTATAAAAGGAGGACCTTGCCCATAGAGAAGGAGGATGATCTTTTCCAGATTCGGAACCTAGAGCAAGGGAGAGGTTAGCTGACACTTTGTAGCTCCTTCATACACAGATCCACCAAAACACAGGAGTAGGGTATTACGCTTCTCAGCGGCCTGAACCTGTATACATCGCTTGAGTTTCATGCTCTTTTGAGAGGTCGCGATCTTCCCACACACACGGAGAGCTTGAGATCTCACCCTGAGCCCCCGGCCGAACCGGCAAAGGGGGGCCTGTGCGGTCTCCCGGTGAGGAGCACCGCGCTCCGTCATCACTGTAGTGGCAATGTGAACCCTAAACCCTAACATATTGAACATTGGCAGTTCGATATGCCCCTGTCGATCATTGTAGCGGCACTATTCGTGTACCTTTTTTTTTTTCTGACCAACTACCCTGACCCTGTCGAACTACCGTTCGATGTTCGACAGGGTGCAAATTTGCGATTTCGTCTAACCAACCTATATTTTTGCGATTTTCTATTAAAAACCGTATTATTTAAAATAAATATGCATGCATTACACAAGTGAATATGGTCTGTGCGTCGAACGAATAGTGCTGCTTTGGCAAATCCATAGCTAAGCTACAGTTACAGCTAAAGATTCTCACCACTGGCGACGACTTGCTACTTGAAAGCTATACTTCACTGGTTTTGTACTTCACTAGTTCCATAATTCTTGATATTTTGAATAAGTTTAAGATCAAACTTTTAAAACGTTAACTATAAATAGCTTTGAAATACTTAGACTGAAGGCACTAAAACAATTAGATATATGCCATTAAAAATTTGCCGGATTTGAAATATGCCATCAGTATTCGCGTATTTGGAACCATACCATTGCAATTTTACACATATTCAAGATATGCCACTACCAACCATTTATAAAAAAATTTGGACCAAATTACCCTTCTTTCCTTCTTTTTCTCCCCCTCCTTTCTTCCACAGCTCAGAGAACTGGCGGCGGCGGAGCGGCGGCAGCAGCGAGCGGAGCAAGCGGCTGCAGCGGTGGAGCGAGCGGCGCGGCGGCGGAGCGGCGGCAGCAACGAGCGGAGCAAGCGGCGGCAACGGCGAGCGGCGCGAGCGGCGGCGGCGGAGCGAGCGGCAGCAGCGTGCGGCGAGCGGCGGCGGCGAAGTGGCGCGAGCGGCGGCGGCGAAGCGACCGACGGCAGCAGCGAGCGGCGCGAGCGGCGGCGGCGGTGGCGGAGCGGCGGCAACAGCGAGCAGCAGCGGCGGAGCGAGCGGCGGTGGTGGAGCGGCGAGCGGCGGCGGCGGAGTGAGCGGCAGCAGCGTGCGACGAGCGGCGGCGGCGAAGTGGCGCGAGCAGCTGCAGCGAAGCGACCGACGGCAGCAGCGAGCGGCGCGAGCGGCGGCGGCGGTGGCGGAGCGGCAGCAACAGCGAGCAGCAGCGGTGGAGCGAGCGGCGGCGGCGGAGCGGCGAGCTGCAGCGACGTCGAGCAGCAACAGCGCAGCAGCGACAGCAACAGGCGGCGGTGACGGCGCCAGAGTAGAAGCAGCGGGGAAAGAGCTAGAAGATGAGAGAAGAGGGAGAGAGGTAGAAGATGAGGGCATTTTCGTCCAATACATGCAAAATACGTATCTTAGTGGCACCACTAAGATTACAACAAATAGCAATGGCATCATTCCAAATACGTAAATAGTAATGGCATATTTCAAAACCGGCAAAATTTTCATGGCATGTATCTAATTAACCCAAAACGGGAATATATAAATTAGGCTTAAAAGGAACTATAATAAAAACAAATAATTATATATTTATTATATATTATATATAAAAAAATATAGTTAAAGATATGTTTTGGACACGTATCATTGTCCAAAATGTGAACTGGAGGGAGTAGCTAACTAAGGGTCTGTTTGGTACAGCTCTAACTCTTAAATTTAGCTTCAGTAGTTGGGTCTGGAGTGGAGTTGTGGAGCTGCCTAAACCCAGCTCCACAACTCTAGTTCATTTTGTGAGAGAGCTCCACCCAGCTCCACTCCCAGTTTTGGTGGAGCTGAAACTGTTTGGCTGAACTCCAGCTCCAGGAGGGGTGGAGCTGGAGCTGGAGCTGTGCCAAACAGGCCCTAAGCTTGCCGATTTGATCATCTGCTACTTGTATAATAGGTTATTAATAGCCAGCTGTAGAATGGGTTCCAATAAAATATGAGAGAGATAAGTAGATTGAATATTAATAATGTAGTGGACTATTATATTGACTATAGATGATGTTTCAAATTTTGAAGCTTTGGCTATATTATTAAACTTGCTATAACTAGAGGGAGTGATTGTAGCATGGGCTCCAATAAAGATAAGTAGATTGAATATTAATAACGTAGTGGACTATTTTATATTGACGGTAGATGATGTTTTAAATTTTGAAGCTAGTAGTTGGTTATATTATTAAACTTGCTATAACTGGAGGGAGCGACTATTATTAACCGATTTTACTCATAACTAAGCTGGCGCATGAATTAGAGTGATTGGTTGTTACTCCTACATCACAGGTTCAGCGTGGGTCTACTTGTGGTGCTCCTGAATATTCTATTTAAGCCTTGATATATGATTCAATAAAGTTTCCACCGTTTCACTAGATTGGTGGCTCGATACGAGTCGCTCGTATAGATGGCCATAAAGCCCGATGTCTGAAGGCCCAGCCCACGGTACGGTATTTTGGCCCAGCCCAAACACGACACGGCCCGACTTGGATCGGGCCCATGCTGGCCCGGCCTGACCACCGGGCCGTGCCTGGGCCTCCCCACCAGCACGCGGTCCGACACAATCGGGCCGGCCCGGCACAATGGGCTGGCATGCCAGGCCCGGCATACAAAGTATAGGGACTAAAAAAAGACATTAATGTCGCGGTCCAAAGAATAGGGACCTAAAATAGACTTATTTTAGCTATTTATATATCACAGCCCAAAGAAGAGGAAGGGAAAATAGACTTTTTAGCTATATACATGTCACAGCCGAAGAGGGAGACAAATTAGACTTATTCTGTGGAAAAGCACGATAGACCATCGTGCCTTCCCGGCATGGCCCGAGTCATGTTGGGCCATGTGTGTGGCTCATGGGCTGCCACGGCACAGCCCGGTGTGAAGGTCGGGTTGTGCCGGCCCGACTACTCTCAGCCCAGGCATGGCCAGGCCTAGGCCGTGCCACCCGTTCGGCCATCTATAGTCGCTCGCCATGATAACAAACTAATCCTTAGTCCAGATCGATCATTTTCATTAGAACAGATCTGAATATATTTGCCACATGCCTACTCTAGAAGGGTTCGGGTAAATTTGGCAGCATAGGCCAGCCCAGTCGATATTAGAGGAATCCAAATGACTCCAACAGGAACTAGCACAGTTTAGACAAGTGACGGATCTTGCTAAACGCGTGACGGATCCAAACAACTCGGTGAGGAACGACAGTCTTTGCTAAGCTGCCTCTTGTTTGGACTCCCCTGGTACAAGTCCTCGAATCTTCACATCATAATACACCTCCTCTACCCTCCTCAAATCATACTTCATCCCTGCAAAACAAAGTACGGAAAATGAGAAAAAAAACAAACATGTCCCAACTTAACAAGGAGAATCGTGATAAAAGTAATGCTCCTAAGTAAATACCAAGAGTGAGGCAATTTGTCATGTGATGCCCAAAAATTACTTGCCAGTTACGCGATTACAGATTTTGCAAGAAACTCACCATCAAACTTCTTACGTAGAAAGTCATTGCGCAGGTTCAGCATCCTAAATGAAGCATGAAGGTCTGTCAGAAATGACAACACCTTTCTTGGACAGTCATAGTCTCCAGCAGTGACACGGTTCACTACATATCTCGGCTGCACAAAATAGCATTACAGTTATGTACTACATCAATCAAAATGTAACAGAACAATAGAACATTCAGTTAAAAAAAAACAGACATTATCGTGTGAAGTTCACAGATATGCATGCCACACCCATGGTCACGCACAAGTACACATACAGTACAACGGTCTGGGTCAACTGACCAACTTTAAATGTTAGTACAAATTCTACATGTGTAATTTTTTTTATTCAGATAGGATTTTATAGTTTGTAGGCACATAAAATGAATGTTCATATAACCACAACATTCATCAAGTTTAAATATTTAGTGTTGTACTTGCGTAGTGCTATAGCCTGTTTTTGTCTCGCAAAAAAAAAGGTGCTTATCGTCTCAAAAGGAAAATGAGATATTTATTCCAGTCATTTGTTCCCCTCTTGATGTCAACTAGTAGCATTTTAACAGATTAAACAAGAAAAATCGGTGGAGAATACAACTAAAGCATGAATACATGACAGAAATTGGAAAGAAGAATACATAGGATGCTAGGATAGAATATAAGGATTTTCACAAGTGCAAAGTACAATTAAAGCATGAAATACATGACAGAAATTGGAAATGAGAATGTAACATATGATGCTAGGATAGAATACAAGGATTTGACAGAACGAAACCAACAAACCTAGGAAGCATTTCAATCAAAAATACAAATCAGATTGACAAATTATGGATTTGGCATAACATTCATACTCCTATCACTGATCCTTTTGCCTTACAGGCAACAAAAAACTGAACCATCAATTTCATCTAAACAGATCAGGGGAATACATTCTACGTACTTTATTGTATTTAACTTGCTGGAATCCTCATGTCTCACAAAAACTTTAAGTCCGCAGTCAATGAATGTAATAGAAATTCATGACCAATATCCATTTGCACCAACAAAGTTGCAACCATAATGTGCTCTATTACTGTACATACTAAGGTGGAACACTGGAATTTGTGATTGTGAACTGAAGTGTCAAGAACTCTCACATCAATATTTATTTTAAATAATCAAACATAATGAGCTAGCAGCCAACCAGAAAATTCTAAAAGATATTGATACTTAAATTTTAATCATCCTTGAAGCCAGAATACAGTTTACACAAGATCACATAACAGCTAGTCCTAATTTCCCAGTTACCAATTTTTCATCAATCTGAACTAACACAACTGCACCAGTGCTATTATATGCTACATTTTCAACTTTCACATTAAGTCAAGATAAATATTTATTACTTTCTAGGTTGCAGGTTAAGCACACATATTGAGACAGAAAGGGCAGCATGCAATTATTTCTAAACATGAAAAACCACCTCATATATGAGGTAGTATAACTGTAGTAAGTAGTCACCTAATGGTTAATACATGGTTCGAGAACTGATGTTGTCTACACAAAAAAGGGTAACAGAGACCTATCAACCAAAAAAGTGCCAAGACCCAATGACCAGCTTAAAATGTACTAAAGCTATACAACAACCAAAGGATGAAAGGAATAGCACCATATGGTAATAGGCACTCAAGCTATCCAAAGTTGTACATATCAATTGATTGTTCTTTATATATATTACATTCTAGTTCTAAGAAAATCTCAGGCTCTTGGCAAAGTCAAATACAGTATTCTCTAAGGACATGTCGGATATGAAACTATGAATTAATATTTTATAACACCAGTCCTTTGGGACTCTTCAGACAAGTCATGCTTATTATTCTTTCCAGACACATGGCTAATGAAAAGGTAGCCTGTTACTGCAAGATAAAATCATATGAACAATGTAAGGAAGTGGGCAAAAATATGCATAGTGATGATGAACTTACGAAATCGTTGGACATGAAGCACAATCCTGCAAAGCAAAGAAGTCTTCATGTGAGCAGGCAGTGTAATTTGACCACAACATGTTTCAACAAACATAAGTGTAACAGATATAGACGAAAATCGTTTTTTGACAAAAGCAGGTTCTGATATTTTTGGCATTTTGTCAACACAAAAATTTCAATGCCGATAACATGCTAAATGATGTTATCTGCATAAAGATCACCACTAGTTCCAATTCGAAAGAAGGGACTAACCACCATTTCTATTCCCCTGTATAGTCCAGGCCCATTTTTCCCCACTAACCAACATTATATAGCCCGTGAGAAAAACATTTTAACAACAATGACCAGTAGATCCCATAAATAACATCCAATTCATAAAGCAATTAAAATAGCAGATAGCATAAAGGAAAACTAACCAGTAAGGTAATCTTCAACATCCAGGCCAAACTCCCCGGAGCTCACTGCAAAGAACAGAGACAGAAAACACCTTTCAGCTTCATCACACACAAAACACAATCAATGTGCACCACGCCACCATCACAAGGTCCTGGCATACATCCTAGCTTCTCCTGGGCCTCGGCGTGCATGAGGAGGCCGCCGGTCTCAAGCCAGTGCATGAAGGCGAGCATCGACACCACCGCCTGCGTCTCGCTCCTCCAATCGCCGTGGTACCTAGGCAGCAAATGCAAATCCCCACAAGCACATTGAGCAATTCCTACAAAAACCCTATCCCCCCAGCATCATCCTGCGAAAGGAGGAGGAGGAGCCGGAAGCAATCCGTCACCTGTAGTACTGGCCCGGGCACTCCTTGAGGATCTCGGCGAGCCGCGAGTAGAGCCCCTTGATCACCTCCACCTGCGCCTTCGCCTTCCCGAGCACATCTGCACACACGAGAGTAGGAAATCACTTCCGGAATCAGCAACGAGGCTAAGCGCGAGGGAGCGACGAAACCCTAATCTAGTAGGAGGTGTGGGGAAATGCGGGGGAGGAAGTGGAAACAACCTGCGAGGGGGACGGGCTGGTGCACGAGGAGGAGCGCGGCGGAGGCGACGCGGGAGGCGGACTCGACCTCGGAGACGACGGCGCGGATGCGGTCGCGGAGCGTGGAGGACTCGTCGAGCTGCGCGCGGAAGGACTCGAACTGCGCGTCCATCACCGGCGACGGCTGGGAGCTGCTTCCGGTGCCGGCGTCGCCTACCGCGTGGGGAGGGACGGAGCAGAGGCGGCGCAGGGGGAGGAGGAGGATGGAGGCGGTGGGCCGGCGAGGGAGGAGCCTCGAAGCTGCGGCTGCGGAGGCGGCGGCGGCGGCGGGAGGAGGAGGAGGGGAGAGGAAGGCGGCTCGGAGTCGGAGCGCGGCGGTGGCGGTGGCTGCGGGTCTCATCGCGCCGGCGGCGAGGGGTTTTGGGGGGAGTTTTGGGAGAGACCCGTGAGTTTTTTTTCATTTTTAATTTTTTTAAAAAATATTTACAGAAATATACTATCGGCGAAAAAATTTACAAAAATAAACCATGCCGCCTAACGGAGGGCGGCAAGCTAACGTAGCAGACGGAGAGGGACGGCCGGTGACGACCGATTGCTTTTTTACACCTAACACCCTTACCGCCCACTGCCAGGGTGGTAATGGGCCTGCATGCAAAAAAAAAAAAAAAAAAGCTAGCCCGGGTCTGCCATTTTGCAGGCGGCCCCTTGCCGCCCTCTGCCAGGGCGGCAGGCCTCCTCGCCTATAAAAGGCCTGCCGCCCTACACTCCCTCCTCATTTCTCCTCGCCTCTACTCTGAGAAAAAAAAGAGAGGGGGAGGAGAAGAGAAGAAGAGGCGAAGCCCTGCCGGTTTGAGACTTCTATTTTAGGTAAAATTCATAGATCATATATATGACTATTTAGTTAACTAGTGTGTATTTTTTAAAAAACTTTCCTTGAATAAATGCATTATATTATCTAGGGTTTTAGATGTACTGCCGTAGAACTGTGTATTGTTATATATAGGTAACTACGTAGATCTGTAGTCTTTGTAGTTTTAAATATTGTTGAGTACCATTACATTAGCATACATAACAAGATATTAGATGTAGGTAACTAAGTAGATCTATAGTCTTTGTAGTTTTACATGTTGTTGAGTACCATTACATTAGCATACATAATAAGATATTACGTTGTAGGCGTTTATTACATAAAAGAATGATCTAGTTATTTCGTTGACAGATATGTCCAACAAATATATAATTCAAGTATACCATGGCCCAGAAAACATCCGTTACGGCCCGACTGGGGTAAATCTATCAGAATTTATTGTAACACCAAGGAAAATTGATAGACCGGCTGAGAGGAGTGTACCTTCTATAAAATGTAGTTGATGAGGGACTTGGGAGTTGATCCACAGACAAGTGACGTAACAATCTATGTTGTAGTAAGTCGGGCAACTGAGGGTTTTTATTGGGAACTAATGCCAGTTCAAAACTCTCGAATGTGGAGATGATATGTGGAGAATGCATTACAACACGGGTGGCCTCTAGCTATGGTTCCGCATGTTCACCCGCAGGATCCAAGTGTACAGATGAACATGGATGATGGCGAGGGACCAAGTGCTGAAGTGAATGAGACTTCCGTGGAAGAGGTCAACGCACTAGAGGAAGGTGGCGTAGTAGCACCAGTGGGCATTCAACCCGGTGGAGTGGCTGACCAGGGGGAGCTGTCGGTGCCATTGTGGATGAAATGGAGAGAGAGGATTCTAACAACGAGCGTGTAGAGGAAGATGATTCGTCAGATGATAAGGACACCAATATTAATTCAGCCGAATGGACTAGTGAGGATTTTAACTGATCGGTGGGGCACACGGCGGTAAGGACCTAAGCGCAAAATGCGCACACAGCGCCGTCGCGCCGCCGTCTGCCACGTCAGCTTGCCGTCCTCCACTAGGGCGGCAGGGTCTATTTTTGTAAATCTTTTCACCGATAGATTATTTCTATAAATATTTAAAAAAAATAAAAATGAAAAAATTTCTCTCCTCGTAGGCTCGTAGTAAGCATTAGTTAAACACACCTGATCCCGTCAAAGAATATAAGCTAAGCACACTTTAAGCGATCTGACGCAGAAGCACTCTGGTTGAGTCCTCTCTACGGAGTCCTACCTGATTTCTCGTACTTAAGAGGGTTACACCGCAAAAACATTCAACTTTTCGGTACACCGGTCACCTAGGCCCGTGAGTCGTGACCCCCCGAAAGCAAAAGACGAGGCAAAAAGTCGCACCGAATGCTCTGATTTCCGGTGCTTTCCTCCAAAGCCAGCCGCTCGCCAGCCTTGCCAAAAGCCGTCGACTCCATGCACTGGCCGGATCGCCGCCACTCGCGGTCGTAGCGCGTTCCTGCCCCGTCGGCACTCAAACTTACCCCGTAAAACTCGGAGGTTGCTACACATCAGACGTCTGATATTTAGCAAAAGATCGAACTCGGACGTTGTTCACCCACATATTTAACTGCATGAAAAAAACCATCGTAGTTAAGCTGCTATGCTGCAAGCCTATACCCTACTCTCGTGCATGCATACATGTAGTCTCTCTCTTCATCTTCCATACCAATAAACCTTTAAACTATTTTCCCTTCTAAATTACTTATCCAATCTACCATCCAATTTCACTGTTGTGTTCGTTACAATTAAATCTTTACAATAATATCTCACTTGACTATATTTCTAATAAAATTTATAAATATGATTATATTACTAATTGAAACATTTATATATTATACATGAAACAACGAGTTATAATTATTGAAACATTAGAAAATATTCACTGCAACATCCCAAGCAACACATACAACATTTATAAATGAATTAGTGAAACATTAGAAAATACTTACTGAAACATCCAATAATATTGTGTGCAACATTCACGAATAAACTAGTGAAACGTCAGAAAAATATTTATTGAAACATCGAAATAATGCCATGAACCATTTTATATGTGTTTTAGAAAAATCAACCTTTTGTTGCACCATAATATTATTTTATCACTTGTACGGATAACTCAACTCACTTTAAAAAATGTTTCAGAGAGATGTAACTTATAAAAATTACTAAATGCAGCAATAACCACCGTCACATAAAACATTAGGTCCCAACTACTGAAACAAAAAAAATATGATGCAACATATTTGCAAATATTGATTTGTTAAATTTTATATCATTCTTGAAACATTAACCTGTCATTTTTGAAAAATAAAAAAATTATTTGCTGAAACATATAAATAGATCATGTGCAACAATAACTATATAAAAATTATTGGCTGCAACAATAACCACCATTATATGAAACATTATGTCCTATCTAGGGAAGCATAAAAATATATATGATGCAACATATTTGCAAATACTTTATATTGTTAAAACTTAATATCACTCTTGAAGCGTCAAGTTATATTTGTTGAAACACAAAATATATTTACTGAAGCATATAAAAATACCACATGCAACATTACATCTGAATAAGTGAAAGATGAGTAAATACTTATTGAAACATCGGAATAACATTATGTGATAAAAATCATCGGAGTATTGTCATGTGAGATCTTGTTATAAAGAGTTAATTATAACAAATCCAATGGTATAATTAGTTCATGATTCCGATAAATAGTTTAAGAGAAAATATCATTTAAATTTCGAATCCATGTGACTTGCATGCACGCTCCATTGGCTGCATGCACTTGTCATGCACCTGCGCTACTACTACTCTGTTGGGTTGAGGTGTCCGATTTTTCCTCCTTCATTGGACGTTTGACGACAAGCATTTTCGGTAAAACTCGGTAAAACTCACGCAGATCAACTAGCGTTGGAGTTGGATGGATGGATTTGGATGAATGGATGGGGACAAACTGAAAGATTCCGCTCCCCCGCGGCCCGCGCCGGTCGCCAAACTGCCACCAAAAACCTCACTAAAACACACCATTTTATTAAATCAGTACTATATGTTTTTAATAGCGCTAAGGAGACCCAAACCCCTCTCACCCTACAATTGACCGAATCGGATCACCCCGATTGGCCCAAATCCTCCTCCCCTTCGTCGCCGCTACTGCAGTGGCTACCCAAATCTCGCCGATCGCTGTGTGCACCATGTGCGGTGACTGCTGCGGCGGCGGTGCCGGGGGAGCCGCCGAGGCGAGGGCGGCCGGCGCCGGCGGCGGGAGGAAGCGGGGGTGTGTGGGGACGGCGCTCGCCCTCGTGGCCCTGGCGGCCGCCGCGGCGGTCGCCGTCCTGGAGGGCACCGCCGGCGGGGTCTCCTACGTGGGCGACGGGTGGCTCCACGAGTGCGCCAAGTGGGACGCCGACGGGCGGCGCCTGCTCGTGTCCAACTTCTTCGGCGCCGGCGTGTCCGAGCTCCGCGCCGAAACGAAAGGGAAGGAGAAGGAGGAGGAGCGCGTGGTCCTAGCGGATCCCGACGTTGCCGGGAGGGTCGCGCTGGGTCTCACCGTCGACGCGCCGAGGGGGCGGCTGCTCATCGTCTACGCCGACCGGATGCCGCGGTTCAGGTACTCCGCCGTGGCCGCGTACGAGCTCGCCTCGTGGCGCCGCCTCTTCCTCACCCGCCTCGACGGACCAGGTGCGTGATGGATGGCCTCCTCCTGGCCGCACGATCTTTACCTTTACCTCCTCCGTGGACTCGTCGTGTGATCGTGTCAATAATTTTTTTAACTAATCGGTGGGGCCTCGGTATTTGACGGCGCCGAAAAGCGTTCCATGGGAAGGTACAGTATGACATGGGGACAGATTCGCTGTGGCTGCATGGTTTGCGCGTGTGCATTTAATTTGTAGGGAACGTCCATGAATGGAGCTTCGCAGGTAGTACGAAGAATATATGGGCCGTGTTTAGTTACAAAGTTTTTCTTTAAACTTTCAACTTCTTCATCACATCAAAATTTTTCTACACACACAAACTTTCAACTTTTCCGTCACATCATTCTAATTTTAACCAAACTTCAAATTTTAATGTGAACTAAACACACCCATGGTGGTTGGTTGAACTTCTGTTTGGGTTCTCTGGGACAAGAGAGATATGATGAAGAGCAGCAGCACATTTTCAGGCCTAAAACCCAAACAAGATTTGCCATTTAGATCCACTAAAGTCAGAAGCTTAGGCCCTGTTTAGATGGGACTAAAACTTTTAAGTCCCTATCACATCGGATGTTTGAATATTAATTATAAATATTAAACGTAGACTATTAATAAAACCCATCCATAATCTTGGACTAATTCGCGAGACGAATCTATTGAGCCTAACTAATCCATGATTAGCCTATGTGATGCTACAGTAAACATTCTCTAATTATGGATTAATTAGGCTTAAAAAATTTGTCTCATGAATTATCTTTCATTTATGTAATTAGTTTTGTAAGTAGTCTATATTTAATACTCTAAATTAGTGTCTAAAGACAGGGACTAAAGTTAAGTCCCTGGATCCAAACACCACCTTATTTTCCTTCCCTTCGTCACCAGACACCAACTTCCCTCTTTCGCTACTCCAGTTTACATCTAGCGAAAGTTTTACTGACAGAACTGAACACTTCCGGACTCCACGTCCTCTCGTGTTCGCATACTAAAATCAACCAGAAACCAGTGAGGAGAAGCTGCGAGTTCACACTCAAGTAGTAATCCAGAAGTGGCTTTTTTCCAGGCTTAACACCGACTGCGCGCTTGTTGGCTGCCTCTTCCCCTTGATCTCTAGGACGTCCGAAGCCTCCTTTGCTCCTCTTCCCTTTTAACTTCTGTGCAGGTCCAAAATCTTGCTTTTAGGTTCGTGAGCGTGCCAGTTGATTTGATCCTACAATCAACAAGAACAAAAGACAAAAAAAAACAAGGTTAAATCTTAGATGATAGTAACAACAGGCCGGTCTGGGCATCTACTACATTTCGCTGTCAAGACATGCCATCCCCAATCACTTGACCAATGTGGCGCTCATGTTGCAAGGAACACCGAAATTTTTTTCTTTGTCCGTCGCCATCGAAGTTAATCTTGCCGATTGACCTCATGCCTGATGCATCCATTTTGTGGTCCTGCGACTCACCTTTACGACTACGAGGACGCCATGTGCTTAAGGACTGAAGTATGTACATGAAACAACGAGTGAGTGATAAGTGATGGGTACTTGGGAGAGGAGGCTTGGTAGCGAATTGCTTCTCCTCTTACCACGAGGATAGAGGCGCGATTCCATGATAAGTTATCTTGATGATGATTTTTCACTCTTTAGAAATAAGATATGATAATTCGGCGTGCTGACTTATATGTTACCGTATACAGCCGCTAAAAAGCGGCAAATCATCAAATTTCCACGGGACAATGCCCACCGTCTCCACTGCCAAGTTCTACCCTTCTAAGGCAAACCAGGAAATATCAAATTTTTCACTCTTATCTTTAACCGACATATCTATACTTCTTACAGTCGGCTCCTAGCGCCGCTCTTCCTCATCCGCCTCGACCGGCCAGGTGCGTCCGCGTGTCCGCGCCATCTATGGCCGCCATGGGTTTGTAGCTTCTAGGTGTCCATTTCAAGCATTGTTCACTCGAGAGGGAGCCACCAATCTACTTTCTCCGTTTCATAATGTAAGTCATTCTAGTATTGTCCACATTCTTATAGATATAAATGAATCTAGATATGGAACTATGTCTAGATTCATTAACATCTGTATAAATATGGGGAATACTAGAATGACTTACATTATGAAACGGGGGGAGTATTGTTTATTTACTCTCCTCTGAGCAAATTACAACGATTATTATATTTTCCAGTTTGTAGTGAAATTCTGGGGGTTCTTGCCGTTCGAGAATATGAATAGATTGTTGTCTAATTTTGTAGGTGATTCAACGCTCGCCGACGACGTGGCCGTCGACGACGAGGGGAACGCGTACGTGACGGACGCCAAGGGCAACAAGATCTGGAAGGTGAGCCCGGACGGCGAGCCGCTGTCCGTCATCAAGAACGCCGCCTTCTTCCAGAGGCCGGGGTGGATCAACAACCTCGTCGGCCTCAACGGCATCGTCTACCACCCCAGCGGCTACCTCCTCGTCGTCCACACCTCCGGCGGCGACCTCTTCAAGGTCGACCCGGAGACGGGGAGCGTGCGCGTCGTCCAGGTGAAGGGCTCGCTGAAGGCCGGCGACGGGCTGGCGCTGCTGTCTCCGGCGAGGCTGGTCGCCGCCGGCCTGGTGAGCCGGCTGGTCGAGAGCGACGACGACTGGGAGACCGCCGCCGTCACCGGCCGGCACGTCGGCCCGGCTCACCGGATCGGCTCGTCGGCGACGGTGAAGGACGGCGACGTGTACATCAACCACATCATCGGGTTCGGCCTCGGCAAGAAGACGCATGTCATCTCCAAGGCGGCGTTCGCGCCTTTGTAGGCGAGGATCATGCTTCAAGGTTCTTTGATCTCGTGTTACTTCGGTGACAGATTGATGGTTTTATGCCTGAGGAGTATGCATCCATGCATATGCTCGTCCAACGTCCTTTTTTGCAATCCATTGCCAGTTTGTTTAGAAATTAGAACAATCTCTGCTGCTTGCAATTGCACGTGTTAATTTTGTGCAAATACCAGATTAATATACGAAGAGTGCACACCTGACTGTCAATAGAAGTATGACTATGAACTTGAACTAGTCCTACTATTTCAGTTTCAATTATAGGAGAGTAAATTTCGCAATAATGCAATTATTTTGTCAACCATATGGACAGGGATTTTGATTAGTGACTTGTACAGCAGGCAAGATGATTCCATTTCCCAGGGTTTCATCTAATTTAGGTGATGCTTCCGAAGACCGCAGAGTGCCGTGTGTCCGGGGCTCTCTCCATCCATGATTAATGATACTCTCCCCAGTTCTGGCATGATGCTGGGACTTCGTCACAGGCAGCAGGCACGTCGAGTCAGGGTCCACCACTGGACCATGCCGGGACATCGTCGGAGTACAGGTGGGCTTCCGCCTTGCACTTCGACATCAGCGACTTCGACTTCCAGCACTCGACAGAGGACGTCATCGGCCCCTCACAGCTGAGAGGCGCACCGCTGGTGCAGACGCAGGACCAGTCGCCCTCTACTCCGCCACCATATAGTCGTGCTACCCGTGCTGTGCCACCGGATCGCTTCACGTACTCCCAGGACCACATGCGAGCACAGGCCCAGAGGACCAAGTGTGGTCGCGGCGCGGGGCAGGGCCAGTAGAGCGGCCTTCTCTTTGTTTATTTACTTTACATACCAGTACTGTATGCTTGTATAATGAATACGTTGTTGCTATTCGGGTTTCGCATCCCTAAATTTCGTTGTTACTTTTTACGAAAGCACGATACCTTTCGGCACATGCACGAGTACTTTCTACCGCACCGATGCAGCCTCCTTTATTCGCGTGTGATACGACTGCGGAATGGCTGACCCACCATGGCCCGCATACATCCAATCTTACTTTCGGCGCCAATCAGGCTGACCCACCATGGCCCACGATGTAGACATGTCAAGGTTATCACTAAGATTTTGGTGCCTATATAAGTCGCCATAACAAGCGATGCCTCACAATCTTTCATAACTCAGTCACATTCAATACTCTCTTCCTCACTGGTTTCATTACAAATCTCACCAGCTTTCGGCAATGGCTAGATGGCGGGGCATTGAGGATTTGAACTGGCGTAGCGATCCTTGTGCATACCTACTACCACTTTGGTGCCAGCGGCCTCTCTGCCTTTGCTGTGACCGATGCCAACTAATGGCTTCGATGAATCTTGACATTCGACGAATGTGCTTTTTTAGGTGCCCTAACTATGACTGTGAGGTATTTTATTATCTGCATATGCTTATTCATTTTATATGGGCAATTGTTTTATTCTTCATCATACTACTCTATTCGTCAGACCCACGCTATGGCTTGCGGATACATCGAGTGGGTCAATACAGAAAATCTCGTTCTCGACCTAACCACTTGTTTACAAGAAGGACGCTGGTATTTCGCATCCGAAAGTACTGAGCAATACTTGCAGAGAAAAGCGGCTTACGAACGACAACGTCGTGAACAACAGTGCAACTGGCGGGTGCTAACTACGGCACTCCCTCCATGGGAAGCCCGTCCAAGATGCAGATGCGGTGATCGTTGTCAGGTTTTTCGTTCCATAAAGTCTACGACTTTGGGTTGAAGGTTCTTTGTTTGTCCAAACATTCTAGACGACGATTTCATGGTAAGAATATTTAGGGGTATATATTTCTGGTTTTGTGCTTAAGGGACCTCAAAAAATCTCACTGTTAAGTTGAGGGACCTCCGGTGAACCTATTCCCAATCTGAAATAACTAACGATGCCCTGCGCCTTGCTGCAGGATACATGTTAGATATTGGAGAAATGATGAAATGATTTGGATTGAAATATTACGAAAATGTTTTGAGAATGATGATTTAGCGTGTGTATATTTAGTTTTAGAATGAAATAAATTATACATATAATTATTATATGCTTGCATATTGAGTTTTTGTGTATGTTGAATTTTTGTGTGTTTAATGAGTTGATGTGGTATGCTTGTATGTAAGTTTTAGGAGTGCTAATAAATATTATGTTTGCATATTGAGTTTTAGGTATTTAGTGGATATTAGCTTTATAAAAAAAAAAAGTGGATTCTATCTTGATGTCTGATCTTTTGTAAACTTCAAAACACGCTGTACATTTAAAAATTCGGAACAGATAGGACGTGGAAATGCCTACATGGGTAGAGAGAAAATCAGGCTATGTTTAAATAATGGGAAATGAGAGGTGAGATTGGGATTGGGAAATGAATGAAGGGTTAGGATTAAATGAAAGAGGAGGAATGAATGGTTAAGATTTAAAGATGTCTTTTGGTGGGTGGGAAATTATTAACCCATTAGCCAAACAAAGCCTCAGGTTTAACACGCTGTACGTTCTTGAGGGAAAGCAGATGAGCCGAAATTTATTTATCACTGAATAGGGCAATGACAAATTTACATGTATAACAGTCTTATTTGTGCACTATATAGTATATACAAAAAAATATGGACTAATGTTCCAATTATAAGAAAAATTGATGGTGCAAATTTGTAAAAATCTGTACAAAAATGCTATCATTGCAGTAATCTTATGTACAAATTCCAGAACCTTCCTCTATTCTTCACTCTTCTGTACTCTTCAAGACAACAAAACACAACCCTTGTTTTTACCTGCCCTGCTGTCCAGTCCATAAAAGATGATCAGACATTCACGAATCACATGTTAAGATTATTTAGCCCCGTGAGTAAAATGTAAAAAAAAATCGAGGAAATGGCCAGAATTCAGTCATCTACATACTTACATCTATTTTAGCTTCAACAGGCTAAGCAGAGCGATAAACCGGAAGAGTACCCCCATGAGCATGACAATGACGATGCAAAGAACAAAGTTGTTGATATCATAACCACCTTTTAGCAGTGCTCCACATCGAGTAATCAGCCACACGCCGGAATATCTGAAAGTTGAAAAAATGTGTTACACAAAAGTTCATATAGCTTTTGGGACATACAGACTTAAAAAAAAAATCTATCTAATGCTGATTAGAGAGAGAAAAGTGCTAACTTTTTTGCTCCTGCAATAATGAGAGCCTCTAGTGCCCATTTGGGATAGCATAATCCCTTTATAAAGTTTGGAATGTTTGGTTGAGTGCCTACCAAAACCAATACCACAGGTATTAACGCAGAACACTGCAAGAGAAAAGTTCATTTAGCCAAATGACACCGCCAATGTCAGGATGAAGATATTTTAAGTTATTATGCTTACCAATTGAGCTAATCCGAGCTCAAACCAAATAGCAAAAGTATAACCTATGCCAGTTACACAATAAACCAGTGCCAAAAACACCAAATAGTTGTCTTTAAATTCAGAACGTGGGTTGTTGAAGAAATAAAATGTCGAGAGGAAGGCAACTGGCTTCACCAAGGTGTTGAAATGGTCAATTGTATCTCTTGCAAGAAAATAAGCTAGAGTGCTCATGCCAGATTCTCTTTCCCTCCAATATTGCAATCTTTCTGGTGAAAATGACCGCAGTGCTGCAAGCTGGCATAACAGCGCTGCACAAAATACAGTAAAGTTAGCTAAAATGTTGCTGTGTCTTTTTTTAGGGAACATTGTGTATCATTGCATTAAGAAGTGATATAAGTGACCTGTGTGGGACTGTAGTTTATTTGGCAATGAAACAGAATGCTGCTGTTGTATAATCATTAGGTTGCATAACTGGAACTGCTAAATTTCTGGTATATCTTTCTGTGACAAAAGGGAAGGTTGAGATGGGATTCTATTTCCCCCTAATTTTCTAATAGCGCACATTTTATGTTATCCAGGTATATGTTCAAGGCTGAAATGTGTATATAGCTACTTGAAAATTCGATGCAGTTAAAAATGTAACACTATGATGTTGTAAAGGATAAATGTTCTAAAATGTGGCAAGTGGTATTTGTGCGGTCACCCACTAGCAGTGATTTTATGGCCTAACTACAAATTATGTGATAATGATATATTATGCTATCTACCAAGATGCATTACTTTATGGAAAATTAAGAAGTTCCTAAAAACAACTAAGAAACTGACTTACAGACTGCAATTATGGTATATCCATATGAAGCTACACCGAATGTATCATCTTTAACTTTAGCAATTGTTCCAATGCATATGCCGGCGATACACAATATTAAGTAATCAACAGCTTGTAGTGTAGCTTCACGTAGGCGTTGCTTAGTTACCCTGAAAATATCATTTTGACTGTAGAGTTACAGACTGATTCACCCAAGAAAATAAGAGAAAATAAAGAAACTAATTTACCTCCCCAAATAATATTTGTATTGTGCAAGTACACCAGGTGTTTTCCTATCAAGTAAACTGTATGGTTCCCTGACATTTTGGTGCACTGAATCTGCATTCTCTGACTGATCACCAAAAGACTCTTCCCTAGACATGGATCCAACAGTATATAACTCATGAACATTATTGATATCCTCAAGATCTTTCTGCATATATTCTGGAACTTCATATCCATTACGTAGCATCCAAAGAAGTGGCAAGTGTTTAGGAGCAGCATGTCCCCTCATTTTAGTTTTTGTTATTCCCTCTAAGATGTCAATATAGTAGTCTGGAGGATTCTCACGCTCAGGAACCTTAATCCCCAGGCTTGAGAAGTATGTTTCAACTTCACTTATAGGTCCAAGGTAAGCAATAAGACCACCTCTTGCCAAAAGAACAAAGTCATCAAACATGTTGAACAAAGTATAGCTGTGTAACAACAATTAATAAATGTCAGATCCAAGTTTGCAGTTGAATAAAGTAAACAATAATTTTAAAAACAAGTAATTTTAGTTCATAGAGGCAAATGATAGGCTGACCACTTTTATTTTGTCTGACTGTCATACATAAAGGTTAGAATTATCTAAATCTGATTTCTTTTCATAAGGTTCGTGACACCTAAGTGACTTCAGGTATTGGAGGCAGCGTATAGGGTGAACTAATTAATGATGTTAATACATAATGCTGTAAGAATATGTTGCTTCTGTATCTGAGCACAGTCATTATATCCATATTCTCATTTGAATATTATTTAGGTAAGAATTGAGTACTGATTCTTCTGAAAGGAGACAAATTAATGATTCAATGTATGTAAGGAAAGTAGGAAACCTTGGTTGGTGAATCACTGCACAAACATTTACGCCTTGGAGTGCTTCATGACGAAGAGCTCTTAAAAGTAGCTGAGAGGAAGCACTGTCCAAGCCTGTAGTTGGCTCATCTAAAATAAGAAGAGAAGGTTCCATAACCATTTCAATTCCAACATTTACACGCTTCCTTTGTCCTCCGGAAATACCCCGCTTCTCCACTGTTCCAACAAGGGAATTTCTGATTTCTTGAAGCCCTAATGACCCGATAACCCGTTCAAGAACTATAATCTTATCAGATTTTGACATGCCTTTGCTTGACCTACTCCAGAAAAAAGAGTGTATAAGATAACTATTTAATTTATGACAATGCAGAGTACATATCATGAAAATAATTGATAAAATAAATTTGATGGTATTACTGTTTTATTAATAATAAACTAAAGAGTATATGCTATCACTTGAATTCTAGGCACAACATATATTTTATGTAAGCTATGGCTAAATTATCTACCAGGGATGGGGGTTGGCAAAACTGAATTTCAAACTGTAGATGACATATCATATTTAATAGTCAAATTACATTAGTCATTGATAGTCTTGCAGTGCTATGTCATAAGTTTTGATATAAGCATATTTAATGGAAGGAAAAATAATCAATAATGAAAGTAACCAAGCTATGCACCATATGCCTGTATTTAATACCTGCAGCACGCACTAAACCACAAGTTTTCCTCAACCGTCAAGTTCCCATGGACAATGTCATCTTGTGGCACAAAACCAATGATCTTCTTATATGACTGCATTGATCCAGATTTTCCATTTATAAGAACTAACCCGTCCTTCTTATATCCAGTTGTTTTACCTAACACAGCATTGAGAAAAGTAGTCTTTCCTGCTCCAGAAGGACCCATGATGGCTGTTACCCTACCTGGTGAAAGTTTTCCAGTAACACACTGCAGAAGTTTCTTTTTTCCAATGGACAGTGTTAGACCTTTGAAAACCACTTCAAACATTGGCCTTCTCGATCTGTTTTCAGCAGCTAGAGCCACTACTCCAGATAGTGTTATTTTATCATTGTCTGGCTGCAGAACTCTTTCCCTACCAATTTGACTATAGGCACGCCTGAACCTTTCAGTGCGTGCATGTGCTAGCTTTTTGCGATTTTTGGATCTCTTACCATTACCTTCAGTAGCATGCCGTGCCTCATTAGATGATGCAGCTAATTGATCGGACTCAGACATTTCTAACTCATGACTTAGTACAAGTTCTTTTGCTAATTTCCATCTTCCACGTGCTGTTGCTGATTCTTGTGCAATCGTTGCAGCCTTTCTACGAGATTTGGACAATATTTTAGCTCGAATTTTGATGAATTGATCAGAGCAGTTGTACACCAGTAGTAAAACAACGCTCAAGATAACCTGCAAGAGGAAGATTAAAAACGGAGAAATTTTACCACAAAATATCATTAAATAGTGGAGAAAATAGTGAGCATTCATAAAAATACTCTATAAAAAGGTAGTAAGTAAGTATTCATGAACATCTGTATCTCTCTTCTTTTAGGTGACATTTGATGAACACAGACATGTGAAAGAAACATGGATACTTAAATAAATGCATGTATTGCAGAAGCCTGCAACTTATATTATTTGCAAGCATTATACTGAGACAGAAGTAACGGGTCATATCTACATGAAAGGAGATAGGACTTCTGTTCGAAACATGCGAGGCACTGATTACAAACCCAAAACCAGAGAACAACGGTATGAATAAAAAGAATTTGAGTAAGTGATATATCCAAGAAACTGTTGCGGAGAAAATATTTCCCAGCAATACACAATTATTTTAGGACTTTATATACATCCACGCAAAATGTTTAAGTTCAGATTTGGAAAATGAGAGGCATCCTTTGGATGTAGTGCAAGCACCAACCAAGTTCCAGGTCCCACATGAAACTAGCACCCAAAGATAGAAAAAGAGAGAAGAGAGAAAAATGGTAAAAGGTGGTACATACAATTAATATACCACCAAATAAAGCCGTCGCTTCTTTTGTTGAATTTTCCTTACATGTGTTTTTCCAAATACACTCTGCAAATACATATGACATTATTGAGCTTGTAACTATAATTCCAAAAGGAAAGGATAGCAAGTTAAATTTGTATGTTTTATCAGAAAGTATTGCAACAGCATTCCTTAAAGAAAACTTTGAAATAATATAGCTCACTAAACTATCTAATTTTAATTAAACAAATCTGTGTTAGACAGTGAAATTGGTGTGGTTTTGTACTTGGAGCAACTGCAAACCAGTTATTAGGATTTCAAGAGATTGTTCAACTCCAGAAGTAATGTTAAAGTGTTAGACTTTGGTTTGAGGTTTACAGATAGTAATATAACTTTGAAGTGATAGGTAAGTAGCATCTCTAAATCATGATTCCCAATTAATATAATAAGGAAAACAGGATATACATACTATGTTCCTCTGTGGAGCCTTTACGGCAATAGTACCTGCAAAAAAACAAGTTACAAATAACCATTAGCAACAAACAAAATGTTTCAATATATCGCAGATATTTCATAGAGGGGAGAAAGGGTAGAGACAGCACCCACCCCTCAGTACAGTTAAATTTTTGGGTTGTTGTTGGACAGTGATGCCCTGGAGGGCAGAAGACATCATCAGTTGTAATCACATCTGCCCAAGAATCTGCAGTGCCGCATGCAGTGTTCGATCCTGGAGTTATTTGGTAAGAGTACCTGGCATTTTTTGAAACACAACAAAACAGTAATATGCTATGAAATTCTTATGAAGAACATTTAAATGCTGATGTTGTTATGTAGTATTGCCAAACGAAAATTCCCCTTACGGATCACAAAGGCCAGTAGTGTCATTCAATGTCGCTAGAGGACAATAAGCACCCAAAGGACAAGCTGTGACAAAAAAAAAAAAACAGATTGAATTTGAGAAGATAATAAGAAACTATGAACAACAAACAAAAGAAACAATAGTGATTTACTATATATGATATAAACTTTGTTGAAAATAAGATGTATATTCTCCATAAAGTTATCCTAATAGACAACAATCAATTTTAACTGGGTGCATCAAAAGAATTTCAAAGACTGTTTGCACAGTTTTGCACATTCAGCATTTCAAAGTCTTGGCAATTTTTTAACAATGATTGAATTCACAGGACCTTCCAGAGTACAATAACATCCAGTCATGTAAAACTGATTTAACACTGCGAATGTTTGTCGCAAAGAAAGAGCTTACGTATCATGCAGGTCAGGCCACGAGGGCAGAAGAAACCTGGACAGCATGGCCTGCAGTTCACCGCCCTGGATGGAACCTCTCGTCCTGATGAACTAGAATCCTGTCTTGCGCAAGCCCAGCCAGGCTGGCACCCTAGTGCCCATGAGTTTTGGTCACAGTTCCTACTAACCCTCGTGCTGGGCTTTTTACCCAAGCTTTTGACATATATTTCTATTTCCGCTTTCCCGCACAGCATTCCAGTCATTTGCCCTGCGTGCACAACATAATTAGGAGAGGTCATAAGTCATAACACATTTGGTTTGAGAGTTTTTAGAATTTACCAGCACCCTAACACTACATCCATAATATTGCAGCATCTAATAAAAGAGGCAGTACAATATAAGCCAGAACTGAATTCTTCCTTTTCCAATGGAACAGTTCATCTCATTGTGATCAGAAATTGCGATTTCCCCCTGTTATCCTAACCCATTTTCAAGTATCACCGTCATCCTATGAAAGTTCATACGAGTGTTTTATAAACTCATGAAATCACTATGTCATCACTCAGTTAACCAGTTTCAGTAAATGATTGGCTGAATCAAAATATTGGCATAAATCTGAGAAATGCAAAGAGATTTGGCAACATAAACAGAAATTAAAAGCAGTTGCATTCTTCATCCCCCCTAATCCCCTCCCACCATCTCACGGCCACAAAAGGCACGAACCCTAAATCATTCACCCAATGAACTCTTCCCCCCACGCATTCCTCATCCCTACTACTACTACTCCCCGTCCCACTCGTGTTGGGGATTCAAGGAGAAGAAGAGAGAGAGAGGGGATCGATGGTTGGGTTCGAGTTTACCACGGCGGGGGAGGAGCCACCGCGACGCTCCCCGTCACCAAGACGGGTCGCCGGCGGCCTCCGCCCGCTCTTCGAGGCCGCCGCACCGGCACCGGCGCCGCCGCCGCCGCCGCCGCGCCGTAGTCGCCGTGGCATTTCGGCGCTCGGCGTTGAAATGCTGTCCCTACGGCGGCGGGTTGATCTGTGCCGTTCATTTTGGATCCAACGGCGCGCGGGGTCGCTCGTGCTCGCGGACGCAGCGAGGCAGAAACGCTGCTGCGAATTTGGAGCGGGAGGATTTTGGTTTGCACAAGAAAGAATCTGCCCCACTGTGTCTCTAAATACAAAATTATATTCTCCTTATGAAATCGAATCCAAATTCCTATTAACTGAATGCAAGTAGCACACCATTTCAGTGTTAATCCCAAACAAAAAAACACGCAACCAAATTCCTCTAAACAATTGCACGCGTAACTTGACCGAAACAAAACAAAGCCAACTAATCACACAGGCCGCTGGTTTTCTTGTCAATAATAACCAAATCCATTTGAACTAGCAAGAACTAATTAATTAATCTCTAATTGATCACACACGAGCAGATAGAAGGATCATCAAAATACCATAAATAATCTTGCTAATTAAGATAAAGTCAACCAAGTAATCGAAGGAGATTACCTTGCGTCTCCTCCATGCAGTCGGAGACGAAGCTGGCGTTGGAGAAGCTGAACGCCTGGGTGAAATCCTCCTGCCTGCGATCGAATCGAAGAATTGATCATCTCACCATGATCACCTCCATCTCACGTATCAAATGCAAAACACGGCGGCGGCGGCGGCGGCGGCGGCGCGAGGAGATACTTACACGTTGGCCATGCAGAAGCCGTACTTGGCCTGCACCTCGGCGGCGAGCTCGTCGCGGACGGCGTCGATCCTGGCCATGAGAACCCCCGGCGGGACGCCCACCAGCGGCGGCGGCGCCGACGGCGGGAGCCGCACCGGCGGCGTGGCGGACGCGGGCGGCGGGGTGGCGACCTGCTGCTGCTGGCATCGCGCCGGCGGGACGAGCAGCGCGGCCAAGAACACCGCCGCGGCGACGGCGGCGGCGAGGAGCTGGCTCGCCGCCATGTGGTAGGTGACACGCACTGATCACTGACCCCGTCGAGGCCAAGGCGAGCTTAGCTTAGGCTGTGGTAGTAGCTTACGTGAACGACCGTGGCTTTGTGCAGTCGTCGGACGAGACACGGTCAGAGTGTCGCGCGAGCTTAGGCAAGGCAAGGCAACGCGCGCGTGGACATTTTCTTTGCTTTGCTTTTTTTTTTAAAAAAGATGAAGTGAAGGACTAAAAGTGCTTAAATTCTGTGAGGAATTGTCAGCAGGATGATGTGATTAGGGCAGAACTAAAAACTAGCTATAAGGTAATTTAAAAATAAAGTTAGAAGCAATATGTATAATAGAAATATAGAATAGCTATAATGTTATGTTTAATTCTTTTTCTTATACTTGTATAATCGATAAATTTATTTTGGAGTATGTGTGCTAGCTCTTTATATTTTTCTCCCTCTTCTACATAATTGTCCCTAATTATAATCATATAGTTGGTTTATAGTTTTCTGTTAAACTTATTTTTAAGTCGTTATCTGAGCAGCTGGCCCACGGGATTTATGTCATACTCGCGTAGTTAATCGTTGGTTTTTTTTTTTCCGTTTAGCTCAGGATTAATTAGCTCGATCAGTCAAACATTTTCTTCGAAAATTAAAAATCGTCAAACATGAAGCACCAACTACTCCACCCGTTCCTAAAAGAGAGTTTATTTTTAAAGTAGGGTTTGCTATATCTTTTTAATACTTCTTTATTTTTTTTCTATATTTTCAACCATCAAATCAGTAGTACTCGTTCTTTCCTTTTGTTTTATCCCCTCTTTATTTCTCATCATATTAATGAAAGCTATAGTAATCTTTAAACCTCTTACTAATCTTTTCTATTAGTTAAAACTATGTTTTTTAAAGGAACGGAGGTAGTAACAAGCAGCATATCAAGTTTTTTTTTTTTAAGAAAAGACTTCAAATAATAAGCATCAACTAACAAGAAGAACAAGGCGGCTAAGCAGACGTACGTTGATTATCATATCGTTCGTGAGCGGTTCGTTAAAAAAAAAAGGTGTTTGTTTGTTTGTTCAAAATATACTGTTCGTGAGCTTGATACAACTAACTCACAGGAAAAAGAAAGTAACAGTAGTAGTATCGTTCGCAGGGGAAAAAGAAAAGGAGAGAATAAAGCAATAGATTAGGCCTAACGGGCAGGATTGCAGGGAGAGGCCTACTGATAAGGAGCAAATTTTGGTTTCTTAGGCCCATGGGCCGATGAATTCATGAGGCCCGTGGCAATCTTAGTTGATATTCCACAGTTTTTGTGAATTTGTGATGCATATGCATTCGCTACGGTTTGAAACATTTGTCATTTTTTAAATATTAAAATGGCTCGAAAAACACAGCTTTTATTAAAGATAGTATTCTCTCCCTCCTAAACTATAAGCACTTATGAACTTATCTGTATTACAGAAACAACTTTTATTACAGATAAAACCTATAGGCCTGCTCAGATTATAGCCAAAATAAACCTTACCAAATTTGGCAATACCAAAATTTTGGCAAGTTGACACTATTGCCAAAATTTTAGCAAGATTTGTTATGTATTTACCAAAATTTAGCAACAAAATAAACGTAGACACATTTTTGGTAACTTTGCCGAAAAATTGTATGGTTAAAAATGGCATCAATCTGAACAGCCCCTGTATTACAGATCCCAAGTGCCTTTTGTCAAAACAAAAACCTCTTAGAATTTAGTGGTGTTTTCTATATTATAAGGTCCTTGTCGTATTTATTAAAAAATAGAAACTCGGTTTTTGGAAGCAAATGTACATGACCAATTTCATCTTGTCAATGAATGGAATAAATAAATAGCATCCACTTATTGTATATTTCCATTTGTTGACACATTTGTCCAGCTGAGATACTTCAAAAGTTTAATACTAGCATATCAAAAGTTTAATACTAGCACATATTTTTTTACGAAAAAACTTGTTTTGGGTACTTGTAAGTTTCAACCACAAATATATTAGTAACAAAACCAAGCAGGGTTGCAGACTTGCAGGGGAGTTCATCATATACAATGTCCTGTCCCTTGAAGGGGCGCCAAAGGCATGCAGCGTCCAGGACCATTATGGTACCTTAATTTGCTGACAAGATCAATCAAATTAGTGATCAAATTAATTAAACAAAGCCACAATTTATCCAAGTTCTGATACTAATCCAGATCCCTGGCCGGATACAAAGTTGACCAAGGAAGCAGAAGTAGAAGCAGCTGGCAGCGGCTTAGGCTGAAAGATTCCTCGACAGCTCATGTCCGTCTAAATCTAACGGAGTAGTTGTTGCTAAGGCTCACAAATTGATCTCACCAACTACTTTAGCATGTGTTCTTTGAATAAATTTTAATGCAATGAATTTGATAGTTCTCCTACCAATCTTTAAACAAAATTTAAATGGCATGTGTTGCCAATGGAATAGTAGGGCAGCTGACAGTGCAGTATTGTACTGGTATTCTTACTAGCTAGTATAAATAAATATTTCAGATACGCCAAAACAAGCGACATGGGCAGATCGCTTTGACCACTACCGTTTTAAATGACTCGATTATTCATTAGTGTCATGAGAGTGCTAATTCTTTGCTTAGCTAATTGCAATTATATTCCCGTAAAATTGCCGCTATCTACAATGGATTGCATATCAAATATTATCATGGCTCAGCTGATTTGCTATGTTAACTGGTTAGGAAACAATGGTGAAGTGGATACATGTTTATAAATTATGCAGAATTTCAACTCTTCAAGGTGATCTGTTCAGAGAATAGTATGATCAACCAAGAACAGGGTTAAACAGTATGTTTTCCTCAATGCATACATTTCGACATCAAAGGTGAGTTGCAGGAATGCCAAAAATTTCCAGTGTCAAAGAGAATGTCAGCAGAGATGAACACAAAAACACGAGGGGAAAGTCATTGAAAGCAAAGGTGAAAAGATGGAACAGATAGCAGTTTTGACTTTGCTGGTTGATTATTAGCGGTCATAATCGTTGTTGTTACCTGCCGCAACTTGCGATAACCAAGCCAGATCATAGCTCAAGTTTTTCTCCTGTGGCGAGTACTGTGTCATCTGGGATCCAATCCATTCAGTCATGCATCAACTAGGTAAGTTACCTGAAATCACTGGACGTAATTACTAAGGTACTTTACTAACAGAGAATTTGACTGAATCTGAATGGAACAGTCTCTTACCAGTAATTAAAAAAAAATTGGTAGTCTCCACTGATTGCTGCTGAACCTAATTAATTATAGTTGGTGTGGTAGCTCTCCTAGCCTTGTAAGAATATTATCTTTCTTAGATCTGTCACCCACTCAACAAAAAGAGGACCTCCTTGGCAAGTGTTCATTGGATGAGAAAGTTGATGCCTGCAAGTTTCATCAATGGACAAGTGGCTAGGTTCATTGTTCACATGCATGGTGTCTCACGTCGTGCTTTATAATTATGAAAAAGATTTAGGGAACAGCACAGCACGCGTATTATTATTTCTCTATTTGTGCATATCTAAGGACAAACCATCATTGTTATATTGAGAGCCAAAGATAGTTTAGCTCTAAATCACAAAGCTTTGCGCTTTACAATTAGGTGGCCAAAATAAAGCTAAGCAGCTCTCGCATTACTGATAGCATTTTTCTGTGCAATTTGCAGCAACTGGATGAAAATTCTCCAAAAATATGGTTTATGTTTTATTTCTATACAAACAATAACTAGTGGATATAAAAAAATTAAATGGCTAACGCAGACAACTGTGAGGTCATGTCGTTAACCATCACAACTAAAACAACAGTGCATGTTACTATCTCACAAATCTATGTATGCTTAGCATATCTGATCAGGTACGGTGATGTTAATATTCCACCCATGACTTCACAACTACTGACCACGTGCTATATGTTGAGCCAGAAATTTTGAAGCAACAGGACATGTCTTTTATTACTTCCACTGAGACAGGTACCCCTCAAAAAGTACTGCAAAAGAAATTCTATGCCATCTGATGTGGTACTAATGTTTTTAAAAAAAACGTGATATACCTCCCAGCCCAGAGAGGCAGAGATAGACTTCGACGCAACTTGGTAATGAAAAAAGTATCAGAGTATCAAATTTATCCTCTCGGCTGGTACTGCAGAAAAGCAGAGGCTTTCTAATACCTTAGTTTGGGTTGTTTGGGAGTGGCAACTTACTCTTCTATCAGTACGTTTTGTAAATTGTTAACTTGCTCCTCTGTTAGTACGTTTTATAAATTGTTAACTTTTTATAAATTGTTAAACAGTATTTTTTTTCAAACATTTTAATATAGAAGTTTCTTTAAAAATTTCAAATAAACACATTTTTCAAGTATGTAATAATTGACATTTAATTAGTTATGTGTTAATGGATTAGCTCGTTTTACGTGCCATCGAGTTGCCACAGCCAACAGCAAAAGAAAAAACTCATCCATCCATTAGTAGTCCATCTCAGTGGCTGGTCCTAATGAAAACCACCACCGCTGCATCCATTTCCATTAGCTTCCAGCCTCTTAGAGATGAAAGTTCTTCTCTTCTTCTTAGTACATCTTGTTCAACTCCTTGGCCTCTGCTTCGTCTCTACACCTCGTTTTCCAGACATTTAAGCCCTCTCGCTGTCCGAATCCCCTCACATTTCTCTCGCCCCAAAGCAACCAAAGAGACCAACCAAACGGAAAGAGACGCCCGGCGAAAAATTTTTTGCCCGGCGAAAAAAACGGAAAGAGACAACCAGACGATCTGGACAGTACCCGGTTAACCCAACCCAAACCCCTCCCTCCTCCATTGTTGACCCGTTAGCCGCACACAAAGTGCATCATCTTCTTCCTCTCTCTCTCTTTCTCTCTTTACTCGTCTTCCCGGTGAGGCGAGATCCGAGGTCGTCGTCTTCTTCTCCATGCGGAGGCGGCTGAGCTCGTAACACATGCCACACAGGTGAGCAAAGAGAGGGATGAAGCTTTTGGTTGGTTAGTTGCTTGGTTGATTGGGTGGGGGATGATTCGTTTGTTGGAGGTGGGTTAGGACGGCCATTGACGACGATGGGAGTTCTTCTGCCCATGGCTGATCATCAATTGTTTTCTTCTTTTCTCTCCGTTGAGATTTGCTGGATGTGTGATTGGTGATCGATCCTTTTCTCTGCCAGCCTAAATTTATTTGCCCTTTTCCATTTAAAATGAGATGTGATGATATCTTTTGTTTCTTTTTCTTCCTTTCTTCTTTTTTTGCCGGGTCGGTCGAAAGGATGGCTGACCAAATGTTATTAAGATTGAAAGGAGAAATCTTTTGTTTCTTTGGAAAGCATAAAGTTGATCAGTGGCAAACTAAACTACGAAAAGCTTTTAGTTTCTTTTCCTTTCCGGCTTGATTAGAACTATTTCTTTTCCCATTTCAGTTGTCGTCAATGATTAATGTTGCGCATGAACTGAGTCACTGACCTTTCTTCCGGCGCCCGCGACGTTGGTGCAGAGCAGGAGAGGTGTCGTCGTCGTCTTCTCCGGGGAGCATGTCGAAGGCGATGCAGTGCTTCGGGTTCGCCGGCTGGGAGAGGGATGAGCGGCGTGGCCGGTCGTCGGCGGTGGCCTCGGCGGCGGCGGCGACGACGCGTTCGCTGTCGGCGCGGTCCAACAGCAGCACGTCGACGGACCGCGACGCGCGGCGGTCGGGGTCGGAGTGCTCCCTGAACGTGTCGTCGGAGATCAGCGCCGAGTCGTTCGGCCGGTACCGGCAGCTGTCGCTGCCGCAGCGCGCGAGCAACAACCTCCGCATCTTCACCTTCCAGGAGCTCAAGAGCGCCACCCGCGGGTTCAGCCGCTCGCTGGTGCTCGGCGAGGGCGGCTTCGGCTGCGTCTACCGCGGCACCATCCGCAGCGTCCTCGAGCCTCGCCGGAGCGTCGAGGTCGCCATCAAGCAGCTCGGCCGCAAAGGCCTACAGGTAACCAATAATTCTCAACATGGTATCAGAGCTCTCGTCGACGATTCTGAGCATGAACAAGTAAGGCTAGAATTTGATTTGATGTTGTGAATTGAATTTGTGATGGTGAACGCAGGGGCATAAGGAGTGGGTGACGGAGGTGAACGTTCTTGGGGTGGTGGATCATCCGAACCTGGTGAAGCTCATCGGGTACTGCGCCGAGGACGACGAGAGGGGGATGCAGCTGCTGCTCGTCTACGAGTTCATGCCCAACGGGAGCCTGGCAGATCACCTGTCGTCGAGGTCGCCGAGGCCGGCGTCGTGGGCGATGCGGCTCAGGGTGGCGCTCGACACCGCGCGCGGCTTGAAGTATCTCCATGAAGAATCTGAAATCAAGGTCCAGTATCAGAAATTCAGAAATTGCCCTGATTGCTCTGCCTCACTTGTTTGATTAATTACTGGCTGGCCTGACATCACCTGCATTGATGCGATGCGATGCGATGCGATGATCTTCCAGATAATATTTCGTGATCTGAAGCCTTCCAACATTCTGATCGACGAGAACTGGAACGCGAAGCTGTCAGACTTCGGATTGGCTAGACTGGTATCTCAGGATGGCAGCCATGTCTCCACTGCGGTACGTGACAAGAAAACCTATCATTTTTTTGCCCAGCATTTAGAGTTCCTTAGGGCACCTGTTCTCAACTGCAAAATGCAGGCATTTTGAATGATATGACTGATTTCAGAGGTTAAACATTCGATGTTGCTCGGTAGACAATCCGTGGTAGAACACCTTGGGTGTAGTTCTTCCTTTCCTGAAGACAAGCAGCAAACACAATGGCTGTTAGCCTGTTACTGTTCCAACATAGAACCATTTTGTCATCTTGATCTGATCAACCAGTTAGTGGCCCGCAAAAACAACAAATTGACACAACACAGTGATAGGAAAAAACCAACCCAACACAGGACATGGATAGGCACTTTCGGTTAGTCTGTGTGCTAGTGCACAAGGACCGGTCAGAAAGGGCAGGTGCCTTTTTTTTGCTGATTGGTTAACATCAACTTAGTAGCTTTCTGGCTGTTCTCCAATTCCAAACATTTGATCAGTGATGATCACACGTTTTTCTAACATTCTGCAATCCACTAGCAATGTCTTCATAGTTTGAACAGCTAGGTAGGTTTGCTAATGTCTCTTCTGGAAATCCTCTTTTAACAGGTGGTGGGAACTATTGGGTATGCAGCTCCAGAGTACATCCACACAGGGCGCCTCAGCAGCAAGAACGACATATGGAGCTACGGCGTGGTGCTCTACGAACTCCTTACCGGTCGGCGACCTCTGGACAGGAACAGGCCGAGAGGCGAACAGAACCTCATAGAGTGGGTGAAGCCCTACTCCACTGACTCAAAGAAGCTTGAAATCATAATGGATCCAAGGCTTGAAGGGAGTTACAGCTTGAAGTCGGCGGCCAAGCTCGCCTCGGTGGCAAACAAGTGCCTCGTGCGCCACGCCAGGCACCGGCCAAAGATGAGCGAGGTGCTGGAGATGGTGCAGAAGATCGTCGATAGCACTGACCTCGGAACGCCGGAGCATCCCCTCATCAGCAAGTCAAGAGAGCTGACGCGTGATGAGAAGAAACGAAAAGGGCTTGACCTGAAGAGAAGATTTGCTGATATTAAAGCTGGAGGGGATCAGAGATGGTTTACATGGCAGAGATGGAGACCCAAACTTGTCAGAACACAATGACATGGCATAAAGATATTCCTGCATGGCTCAACCTTTCTTAGCTAGTAGAGAAAACAACAAGGATTTACTAAATAATGGGTAGGTCTGAATGTTGTGGATCACACACAGGTGATCTTCTCTATACGGTTGGAGGCTCCATGTTTTTTACCAGAGCTAGAAAAATCAAAGCTCAAGTAGTCCTTTTTGGAGTAGAAATATCACTGTACAGTTTAACTTTGTTTTGCTGAATGACTCTGAGCTGTATTTATACAGCAAATAAGAATTTTCAGGCAATGGCTGAAGCTCATTAGTTCCACTTCACTATGTTTACCATTTGGTACATCTCTTGAGATTTTATTGATTTTGTATACATGCGGTCATGCAAAGTTTTTTTTTCTTTCATAGTAAAACAATGGAGGAGCAGAATTTGCCAATGGATTATATATCTTTGAATATGTTAGTTTCATAATAAGAGGAAAGATCTGTCTAAAATAAAAGAAAGAGAAAGAGAATGTAAAGGATGCACTGGCCATGTTTCCTCCTAATTGCTCTGCGTACCATTTTCTATAAGCAGACATTGTTTTTTTAGTCAAATATCAATTGACATTCTCTGGAAGTTACTTTATTAGGATGACGCAAATCACAATTCTAACAAACATGGTAAGAATACAATTGCCCCTAATGTTAAGTACTAAAGAAAACTCATTTTTATCAGGATTGGAAAAATTAAGTTGCACAATGGAAACAGGAGTAATCAGAGTGCAGTTTCACCTTAGCATCGTGCAAACAATCAGTGGATCCAGGATCCAACTATATTTGTATTGTATGAGTGACATATCAGATCTCTGGTATGGTTCTTATAGTTTAGGCCCATCTTCTGCTAATAGTCCACAACTCCACATACTTGAAATATCCATTTGTCCTGTCTGACGATCAAATAGTCCATATAAGTTGAAGTTGAAGCCATAAGTTAAAATGTTCTAGGAGAAAGCTGATCCAGATGCTTTATACTTCTACATGTTGTAACAGCAACAGACATGCAGTTATTGTGATTGTTTATGTTGTCTGAATGCCTTGATTAGATGATAATAGAAGGCAGCTCGGAAACATAGCAGAGTATTTTTCACAATTCACACCCCCATACTTCTAGTTCTATATCCCTGTTTTCATCAGCAAACATGTTGAACATGGATTTATTTTCAAAATCAAATTATCTGCCTTTCTATATTTGCTCATGACTAGGCAATACCTGGTAGTTAACTTCCTCAAAACAACATAAATTCAGTGTACGCAGCCAGAACTGAGAGCAACAAATACTCTTGCACTATTCAAATTGCATCTCTGAATTTTTGTAGAGAGAAATCTACAGGTGCAACCATCTTATTAGCAGTACATACAGGTATAATCTGGAACAGTGACATCATCCTTCATTTTCATATCCATTGCAATAAGTTTCAGCAAGGCATAAATCTCTGCTGAGCCCGGGTGAGTCTTATCTTGGGCAATGAATCTGCAGATCCCTCTGCCAACATCAATCTCACTAAATCCAGGAACCTTTTTCACGCCTCTCTCCTCCATCACCTTTCTCGCTTTTTTTGCCTCTTGCCACCGCCTAGCAACAGCGTAGATATTCGACAGACCAATGTACCGGCCATCGTGGTCTGGCTGCAAATGGACAAGCTGCCTGCCGACTGCCTCCCCCAGCTCCACCCATCCATGGAGATGACAGGCATTCAAGAGAGCACCAAGCACAGAAACACTCGGCTTCATTGGCATACTCTTAACAACACCATATGCTTCCTCTAAGCGGCCTGCTCGACCAAGCACATCTACCAGGCAAGCATAGTGCTCGACATGTGGTCTCAGCCCCTGAGCTTCAAGCGAGCGAAAGAAGCTCCAAGCCTCGTCCACCAAACCACCATGCACACAAGCGCTTAACAGACTAAGGTATGTGATCTCATCCGGCACAACCCCAGCATGCTCCATCTTCTGGAACATCTGCAGTGACTCCCTGCTCATCCCATGCACCGCCAGACCGCCAATCACGGCGTTCCATATCAGAACATCAGTATTCTCCACCGGCACAGCCTGGAAAACCTCAAGCGCCTCAACGATTGCCCCACATTTCGCGTACATGTCAACAAGGGAGGTCGCAAGCCGGATGTTCAGCGGGAACCCGTGCTCCTCCAGGTACCGATGCATCTTCCTCCCCCGCACAAGGTCCCCCAGGTGCGCGCAAGCCCCCAGCACGCTGACCATGGTGACATCGTTCGCCCTGACCCCATCATGGCGCGCCGCGGTGGCCTCCATCATCTCGAACACCGCAAGAGCCTCCCGGTGCTCCCCGCACTTGACGCACCCGTCGATCATGGCGCTCCACGACACCACGTCCCGCTGGGGCATCCGCGCGAACACCCGGCGCGCGGCGGGGAGGTCGCGGCACTTGGCGTAGCCGTCGAGGAGGGCGTTCCAGGAGACGTGGTTCGGGCGGGGGATTTCGTCGAACAGGCGGCGGGCGAGTCCCGGGAGCGCGCAGGCGGCGTACATGTGGACGAGGGAGTTGGAGACGTGGAGATCGTGGGGGAGGAGCCCCCTGCGGAGCGGCTGCGCGTGGACCGCGCGCGCGAGGCGCGGGGTGGCGAGGCGCGCGGCGGCGCGGGCGAGGAAGGGGAAGGTGAGGTGGGAAGGGCGCAGCGCGGAGCGGAGCAGGAGGAGGAAGAGGGAGAAGGCGTGGTGCGGCGCGGAGGCGGAGGCGGAGGCCGCGCGGATGAGCGGGTCGAGGAGGGGGGTGGAGAGCGCGCGGCCGTCGAGGTGGCGGAGGAGGTGCGGCGGGAGGGGAGGAGAGTGAGGCGGCGGCGGCGGCATCCGGCGAGCGGGATTTGCTCGCTGTGCATTCAAAGATCACTGGAAGCTGGGAAGACTACAGTAGTTGGTTTAAAGCCAAAGGCAGTAAAAAATTATTTTCAAATTTTTTTTCCCACCAAATTAAAGGCATGTTTAGGGGCTGTTTGGTTCAGGGACTTATTCCAAATCCCTGTCACATCGGATGTTTGGACACTAGTTTGGGGTATTAAATATCCACTAATTACAAAACCCATTCCATAAGTTTGGACTAATTCGCGAGACGAATCTTTTAAGTCTAATTATGACATGATTTTGACAATGTGATGCTACAGTAAACTTTTGATAATTGTGGATTAATTAGGCTTAAAAAAATCGTCTCGCGGATTAGCTCTCATTTATGAAATTAGTTTTTTTATTAGTCTATGTTTAATACTCTAAATTAACGTCCAAACATCCGATGTGACATGGGCTAAAAAGTTTTAACCTCATCTAAACACCCCCTTAGTTTCCATGCAAAAACTTTTCACCATATCAGGTTGAATGTCTGGGCATATGCATTGAGTATTAAATATAGAAAAAAAACTAATTACATAAATTGCGTGTAAATTGGGAGACGAATCTTTTAAGTCTAATTGCTCCATGATTTAACAATGTGGTACTACAGTAAACATTTTGCTAATGACGGATTAATTAGGCTTAATAAATTTGTCTCGTAGTTTATAGGTAGAATATGTAATCTGTTTTGTTATTAGTCTACGTTTAATACTTCAAATGTGTGCCCGTATATCCAATGTGACACGCCAAAACCTTTCACCCCTGTAACTAAACAGGGCCTAAGAATCTCTCCTATTTTGGACTCAAAAGAATAAAGGCCTATTTTGGACCTATTAGCTTATAAACCACTACCAAAGTTTAAATTTTAAATTTTATTTTTAAAGTTGATTTTTGATGCATTTCAATGTAGTTTTTTTTAATAGTTGCTAAGAACATATATATATATATATATATATATATATATATATATATATATATATAGTAAATTTGTTTGGTGCTCCATGGTGCCCGGGCTCCATGATTCAAATTGAGTATATACTCAATTCAAATGAGCATGAATTTTTTTTAAATGTTTAGGTATTAACATTAACTACTTTACTAACTAGTTCAAACAAGTTTGGACTGAATTTAAACATGTAATATGTTAGATTTTGATTCTAGGTATATAACATCCAAACATATAATTAGTTAGGTATGTAATATTGGATTATGAAATAAAGATAAATTTGAGTTGTTTTATTGCTAGGTATAGGTATGAATCGAATACTTATAACTAGATATATACTCACAATTTGAAAATTTTGAAAAATTTGGGCGAATTTGTGTATTTCATACCATGGTGCCTGGGCACCATGGAGCCCCATATGAGTGTCCTATATATATATATATATATATATATATATATATATATATATATATATATATATATATAAACATACATGTAAAAGTTTTATGTATGAATTATTTTTTAATTGGCAACTGATAAGGTCCTAGATTCCTATTTGTGTGTGTTAGTTTGGCGTTTTGGATTCAAAACAAACAATTTTTTCTCCTATTTTGAATTCAAAATAATAAATTCTCCTATTTGTTTGTGTTAGGTCGACGAACATTTTCCTCTCCTATTAGTTCGTGGTCGACGAACAAAATTTCTCCCTTGTTTGTTTGTTTGTTTGTTTTCGCTTTTTCCAAATTTTTCCATTTTTGTTTTTTCTTTTCAAAAATTTGCCGTGGGGCACTCATAGACATGTTGGATGAACCTGGTAAATTAACGCAAAATTACTTGAGAATACAACTCACTTTGGGCCACTTTTATCTTAAGTCAGCATTATTTTCATTACACCATGAAGCTGTTTGATTCTTAATGTGAATTTTGCTGTCTATCACATCTATCACCGCTATGTTATGAAATATTGCCGTAACGCAAGCTATGTTATGAAATATTGCCGTAACGCTAGCATGTGTATATTACTAGTTAACCAAAATTTCACAATTCTTTGCACTTATGCCTTGAAATCTATTTTTTCCAAGTGGTGAAATTTGATATTGAAATCTATTTATCTTTGAATTTCATGTGGTAATGTAATCCTATTTATTATATTATAGGTTTGTAAACCCCCAGTTCAAAGTGATAAGCGAAAATATATGCTTGATCCTAAGGTTGGCCCAAAGTAATTTTTTTTAAAAAAATTGCTACAATCGGTCTGCCTTATATTTTGTTCTTAATATCATATAAGAACTGAAATAAACGCGCTGCCGTAATTTGATTTTGTGCCCAACTGGTAAATTTTGAAGAGCAATCTTGCTCTCGCCAAAACAAACTGCAGCATAGTTGAGAAGTATAAAAAAATAGCTGTATATTGTTGGGAAATTCAGAAATTGTCATCGTCCAGTAGCCAGCCACAGGAGGGCAACGGCTTAGACCGAGGGCATCGTCCTCAGCCAAGCAGCACCCTATTGCACTGAAAATAAATATAACCAGAGGGCTTTGCCGTGTTTCAAGTACGATTAGTTTCAACACAAAGGCATGGCAGATGGAACCAATATTGAACACAAACTCGGAGGGCGAGCTAACGAAGGACACAACAGACAACCTAACTATATAAATCGTCATCATCAGCGACGGCGGCAGCAGACGCAAAAGGATCAGCCGCAGCTCCAGCACCAGCTTCTGTCCGCTCGAAACGGAACTCACTGCCAAACCCGCGAGACTGCTGCAACGTCTGGGCGAACGCCTGGTACTTGCGGATGTCGGCATCGCTGACACTGCGGCGCGCGTACTTCATCGACTCCTCGAAGTGGGCTGCCTTGATCTCAGCAATGTCGTCGACTTCATCTTCCTCCATCGCTTCAGGGTTCTCCTTACTCCGCCTCTCCCTCTCAATGTCCTGAAACAAACACGAAAAGAATTATTAACTGCATAAAAGATTTCTACCATATCAATCAATGCATTCTGAATAAGAGTGCTTACACAGATAAAATTGTAACAAATCAGGCCCAACTATATATAAGTATATATATATATATAATACAAAGGGAACATGGGCATAATCTCATATAGACAACTGCAATTCTAGGAGTGGCTGATCTTAAACAAAAGTAGTCATGAACATAGAACATAACATAGCCTCGTGTAATACTGAAAGCCAGAAACGTCCTTACATCTAGTTTGTTGTAATACGGATGAGCTGCACATGAATAAAAATTGTGCTATTTGCAAGGTTAGATGAAAATACCTTCTCGATGTTCTCTCTAATCGCATATTTGCATGCACGCTGACAGATTTCTGTAATATCTGCACCACTGAAGCCTTGGGTGTACTTGGCAAGAGCGTTCAAGTCCACATCCTTCGCCACAGGGGACTTCCTGAGGCAAGCTTTGAAAATTTGGAGCCTAGATTGCTCATCAGGCAGTGGAATGTAGATCAGCTGATCGAGACGCCCTGGCCTAAGCAAGGCCGGATCTATGATGTCAGGCCTGTTTGTAGCCCCAATAATGAAAACAGTCTTCTTGGCATTCATGCCATCCATCTCTGTCAACAGCTGATTCAGCACCCTATCAGCTGCACCTCCAGCATCACCCACACTGCTTCCTCTCTGCAACAGGGCAAGGAAATCTTCAAGTAACGGAATATATGGTAAAAATAAACAGGAGTGGATGTGGGGAAGGCAAGTAGACCTGAGTAGCAATTGAGTCAAGCTCGTCGAAGAAGAGCACACATGGCGCAGACTGGCGGGCCTTGTCAAATATCTCACGAACATTAGCTTCACTCTCTCCAAACCACATGGTGAGCAACTCTGGGCCCTTCACACTGATGAAGTTTGCCTGGCACTCATTGGCAATTGCCTTGGCCAACAAGGTCTTACCACAGCCAGGAGGGCCATAGAACAGAACTCCTTTGGATGGAGACATTCCAAACTTCTCGAACTTCTCTGGGTGCTCCACTGGATATTGGACAGTCTGCAGGAATTCAAGTACATAAATAGGCTGTATAGCGCAAGCCAGAAGCAGCATATATATATATAGCATATATAAAATAAGCAAGCATGTTTACCTCCTGCAGCTCCCTCTTGACATTCTCCAGCCCACCAATGTCCTCCCATGAGACATTAGGAACTTCAACAACCTGAAGACAAAGAAACTTTAGTACCTCTAAACAGAAAGAAGCCAAATATGCGAGCAAATAAGTATAACAGTACTCCTGAAGAAACTCACAGTTTCACGAAGAGCAGATGGGTTGCTTGTACCAAGCGCGGTTTTGAAATGGTCATTTGTGACAGCCATCGAGTTCAATATCTCAGCATCTATTGTCTCGTCCTCAAGATCTATGATATCCATCTTCTCACGAATGCACTGAAGAGCAGCCTCAGTGCAAAGGGCAGCAAGATCAGCACCAACATATCCATGAGTATCCTTCGCAATGAGTTCCAAATCAACCTGTTCATTAAGAAAAGTGATATGTAAGTGACGAGAACTTCAAGAGAAAGAGAAATTATGAATAAAATAACACCAGAAACAAGGAATCATGATTGAACACACTTACATCTTCAGCTAGCTTCATGTTCTTAGTGTGAATACGAAGAACCTCAAGCCGCCCAACCTCATCAGGGACACCAATGTCAATCTCACGGTCAAACCTTCCAAACCTCCGAAGAGCAGGATCAATGCTGTTGGGACGGTTTGTAGCACCCATAACAATAACATGAGAACGAGCTTTGAGTCCATCCATAAGAGTCAACAGCTGTGAAACAATACGACGTTCCACTTCTCCATTGGTCTTCTCTCTCTTGGGAGCAATGGAATCAATCTCATCAATGAAAATGATAGATGGTGCATTCTTCTCTGCTTCTTCAAATGCCTTCCTGAGATTGCTCTCACTCTCTCCAGCTAGCTTTGACATAATCTCAGGTCCATTAATCAAAAAGAAAAAGGCTCCAGTCTCATTTGCAACAGCACGAGCAATGAGGGTTTTTCCAGAACCAGGTGGTCCATACAGCAATATGCCCTTTGG